ACGTTCTTTTCGCCTTGAACTGTTGGTTGGGAGCATGGTTCCTTTGCTTCAGGTACGATGTCATATTTCACTATTTCCAGCAGGACAGAAGCTTCTGGTCGACTTGGCAGACCTGTCATGTTTGGGGCTGAGGCTAGACGTGTTTGTTTTTTACTTTGCTACCTCAATCCGTATTCATTTCTAATCCCTACACAGCCTTGGGAGTTTTCCTTAAGACCCTCGTCCGAAAAGCGCAAACCCTAAATCTGGATGACCAGCCGAGCTGCCACAGCTGCTGATCTTGCCAGGAAAGTGGTTGATTGCGCTGCATCCGTTCCAGACAAGACCCAGAAGCAGGCTAGACCCAGGTTTTGGTGCAAGTGGTAAGGCTGTCAGCCCCTTGTTGGGCCCCCATTAAAATGGCCCGCATTTAGAGTACCTAAGCAGGGACCAAAACTTTTAACAATCACCCATGTGAATATGCATGTGCTATGCCCTCTGCAGGCTTGCTGGCACTGTGGAACTGTTTGTGCCCCAGTTGAGCAACGGAAATTCTATTGCTTGCCTAGAGGTTCACGGGCATTAGGACCACTTCTAGCTCTACGCCCTAGCCCGCAACACTGGAGAAAAGACGTGATACAACTGACAACATAACACCCTATATCCTATATAACCTCATTTATATAGTAGTTTTCATTTTATTTTCCATTATCCCAATATACCCCAATATATACCCTATAATCTCTGTATAACCCCTATAATCCCTGTAGATTCCATCTTATTTTTCCATTATCCCAATATAACCCCAAACAAGCCAAGTGGCCTGAATTCTGCCGCCTAGGCTTTTGACAGCATCCGTGACAATGTTTGCCGTCACTGCGGCCAAAAGCGGGACCAGGCCAGGGTGCCGGGCTCGAAAGAGGTTTAAGGTAAAATTGAGGGTTATGTAAGTCTTATAGGGATTGTATACGGCTATATAGGGATTATAGGGGGTTGTATAGGGGTCAGTTACAGGGGAAGGGAAAAAGTGGCAGCTATAATATCATTTAGGATTTAAGGTAAGGGTTCAGGGTTACTGCAGTTAAACAATGCAGGATCAGATGGAAGAGAAATGTACACTATTACTTCAAGCTATAGGATTGAGTTAGTGGAGAATCAAAGAGAGAAGAGTATGGACAATGACATGGGAACTGCGGCCTTGCATGGTTTATGTAGTGACTTAGAGAAACTTGAATTAAGTTGTTGTAAAAAGGAGATACAACAGCTTGAAAGGGTTCCCAACTTATGGTAACTTAGTTTGAGTTCCTCAACCGCAACCCGGAAGTTTCCACACAGCAACACAGCAACAGCAACAACTCCTGACATGTCCATGACTTATGGGAGTTTGTCCAAATCATGCTTTCTTTTGGGTGCCCGGTATAGTGGGGGCCATATTTTGATTTCAGACCGGCACCATAATTTGGACAACGGACCAGCCTTAACCCTGAACCCTGGACTCTGAACCCCAATGTACACCTAGCCACGCCGTTTAGGAGGGGTCGAAAATAAGCTATTTCTGCGCAGCCCGCTCCGCAGACCAAAATACCCAAACAACTTTTTTGGGTGTTGATTGTCAGGTTAACATTAAACCCTAAACCCTAAACCATGAGCTTGCATACCTCTCAGGGTCGGGCGCCAATCCGCGTGGTGATGGACTTGCCAGGCATGAGTGAGCAGCCCGCCTGCAGTTTGTTGTGCAGTTTTAGGGTTTAGCATTGTGGGGTATATTTTGCAATTTTCTAGAGTGAATATAGGGCTATAATGGATCCGTACTAAACCCCACCAGTTTTTGCAGGCGCGAAAATGTCGTCTGAAGAGCGCTGCAGGATTTTTTTGGCAACCCTACAAGCCCCATTGCTGTCCCAGCTGATTTCATTTTCCATGTTCTTTTCAATTTGATTCTCCAGTAGTGACAGTGGGGTAACATCAATAGAATCCCTTATATAATTTCTATATAAAACCTCTATGCCCCTACATAACCCTGTATTAAGTTATCCCTACCCTAAACCCTCAGCGCTAAACCTACTTCCTAATCCCAGCAGAATTATATATGAAACCTGCTCTACATAATCCTATATTATATATCCCTAGCCGAAACCTAAACCCTAGTCCCTAATCCTACAAAACACTCAAGCCCTAAACCCCCAAACGCACACTGGGAGCAGTGGGTTGACGGATACATCGGGACATCGTCGATCAACCGTGCTAGAGGTGATCCCCTGGTTGTGTGGTGCTGCAAGGTCTTGAAAATCAAGAACCAGTGGCGAGTTCGAAGGGATGAATGTGAGAGATTTCTTCAGCAGGGCCAAGATCAAGGACATGGGCACCAACTAGGGCAAGATCAGGGAGGAGGGGCATGTAAAGCAGGCCAAGGAGACCACGCTGGTCCAGATCATGAGCAAGTCTGTGATAAAGCAGGAAGGGAAGGGCTGGGCCATGATTCGACAGGGCAGACGGAGGCGCAGCCAACGGTGGAGGAACAGAATGAGGGGACCCAGTCCAAGGGCATGGTCGCAGTGGGAGAGACGGGTGAGGAGGTAGAAACGGAACAGGATGAGATGGTCATGGTTCCAAGGGCTACACTCCAGATGATGAGGGATAGGGTTGACGAGAATGAGTACCGGCACTGGTTGCTTGGAGTGAGACTGAAGAGGTGCAGCCAGCTCTACGAGGGTTGGTGAGAAGTTGTCCTGAGAGAACCAGGTATACGCTAGCCTCGTCTTTGACGACTTTCTTGTGTGCAACCTGGAGCAGTACGGTGCCAAGGGTTTTTCTCTGGCCTTCTTGTTACAACATTCCGGATGTCACGCAGCCAGAAAAAGGTCCGTCAAAAAAACTAAACTAAACCCTAAACCCTATATAATCCCTACATATCCCAATTATGGTAGTTTCCATTTTCTTTTCCATGATACCAATATACCCCAATATGTACCCTATAATCCCTGTATAGGACCTATAATCCCTGTAGTTTCCATCTTTTTTTTCATTATCGCAATACCCTAAAACCTAAACCCTAAACTCTTTTGAAAGGGTGGCCTGCTAGCATTGCTCTTTTTCTCGCCTGGGACTGCAGTAATGCATCTTCGTGGACTCGTGCCATGGAGAAAAGGTCCGATAAAAATCTTTAAATCCTAAACCCTAAACCCTAAACTCTAAATCCTAAACCCTAAACTCTAAATCCTAAACCCTAAACTCTAAATCCTAAACCCTAAACTCTAAATCCTAAACCCTAAACCCCTATAACCGTTCGA